TAGTGATGAGAACAGACGATCAAGTCAATAACTGAGGTGGGACAATACACTTCAGCAATTCTCTACCATGATGAATTTCCTGGATAACTACTAATTATTGTATAATGAATATATGGTATTAACTGGTACCACTCAGAACAATATAACCTCTCAGTCATGTAAGCTAACACAAAGAGTCTGTTGAAAATTACGGAAGATACGACTTCTGACTGTGTATGTTCAATAGACACGGCATAAAGGACGACAAGTCTACCCGCGTACAGGTCGGGATGTCAGGTCTATCCACCTGTGCGACAGGAGGTCTAATCCCCACTGCAGGCAGAGAAGACAGGTCTACCCAGTCTGTGGGAAAGGAGGACAGGTCTATCCCGAGTACAGGCTGCGGTAGTATGGGCAGGTAGGACGGGTCTACCCGCAGTTGTAAGAGAGGCTAATGAGTATAAAATTAGAAATCAGATTAACTGCAAAGTGTACATTTCTGACACTTTCTCAAGAAGTGATTGCTTATAAATCGTGCAAATTATGATTATTTTTCAAAGATGGCTCACTTTTGGACTTTTGATATTAACACAGAATCATAGAATGGTTGGGGTTGGAGAAGGGACCTTAAAGCCCATCTAATTCCAACCCCCCTGCCATGGGCAGGGACACCTTCCACTAGACCAGGTTGCTCAAAGCCTCATCCAGCCTGGCCTTGAAGACAACATGTTTCCATGTTGTTTAGTGCCATAGTAAACCCAATTCTCAGTGTTTTGAATAAACCTGCTCTGTTTTTCTGGAAAGCACGCCGCACTTTTTCAGGCCCAAGCTACTCAAACGTGCATTCTTATTTTATAGGTATCCACGTGGCCTATGATCTCTCCAGAGCCCCAGGAAGCAGAGTCGTTAGTTTAGAAGTGCTTTGCACAACTTGCCGAGTCCCAGCCTACGTCCCGCTCCAGATGGATGAAATATACAATGTGACTCTTCCCTCCTATATGTTGTTTGGAGGAGATGGATATCATATGCTGAAAGACAAAAATCTGGGATACAGTAAAGGTAAGGATGGGCTCCAACAGGGTAGCAGACAGTTCCCAAAACTTAAAAGAACTTTTTACAGTACAAGTCTCAGACTTTTGGCTTTTACTGGATAGATTGAATTTGTGTCTGATCTGACGGCTCTGGATTTAAAAGCATGCATTTATCAAAAAAATTTTCCTTTTGGACCTTCATTACAGACTGTGGTTTTGGACCTACAGGGTGTTTTAATCTGAAATTGATTCTCACAAGTGGGATTAGTGGTTTTCATCACATTCATCCTACAGCCTGTACGCTGGAGGCGGGGGTCAGGAGCTGTAGTTTTCATTAAGTACCCATTTATGTAGAAATCAATTCACACAGAAAAAGCATTAGGAATAATGACAAGGAACAACTTGAGAGGTTCTAGTAGTCCAGTCCAGCAGAGGAGCAAAACTATGATGGCTTTTAAGGTGGAACTGTTGCACTTTAGGATTGTAAGAGCTCGTATCAGAAAGGGCTCGTAAGACACGGTGGGCTGCAGTGACTCAAGGGGGTCTTCCACTGTAGAAAATCCACATCATACTCTGCGTGCACGCAGCAGCACACAGACTAGAAATTCTTCTCAAAAACAAGTAAAATTGAATTTGAAAAGGTTTAAACGATGCTTTGCCAGCTCTGTAGCACCCTACCCCAAACAGGTGGGAAGGAGGTGATCTCCTCCTACCTAAATCTGACTGGAAGTTACCATCGAAAGCAGAAAGATGCAGACACACAAAAATGCACGCAAGGAGAACTCTTAATTTTCTGTAAAACGTGAGTTGCTACCAAAAATTCAGGCTCCAAACCACCACGGATGTTTTATCTGCCCACAACAACTCTCCGCACCCCCACGCTGTCCCGATGGCAGGCCCCAGCTCAGAACGACAACCCGCAGGAAAGGGTTGGGATTTGAGCTCAAATGGCTAGTTTGGACAGATTCTTAAATTCTGGGTGAGAGCTGGGCTGCTGCTGAGAAGGCTGTCTCTGGTTTTGTTTTGTTCAGGGGAACCCGATATCGAGGTTGTTTCCCGTTACCTCCAGAGAATGAAGAGAGTTTACCCAGCTGTTGAAGGCCGAATAAAGTTCTCCTCTGGAAGCCGTATTGAAGGAAGTCTTACCCTGATCTCTCTGTTGTTCACTGTAGCATTCTTGCACACCTGATTTTTGCTTGCTACGGTTTCGTTCAGAGGGAGGCAGGAGAGATGGTGCTGCCAAAGGGGAGAGGGAACCGTTCTCTTTCCTTACACCTCGGAACGAACGAGCGTTTTGATTCTGCACGTCAACAGCGGGCAGCACCTGCAACTGCCTTCAATCTGGCGGAGTCAGCGACGCACACGGTGCAGAACGGGCGGGCGGAATTCACCACTTCTCTTAGTTTGAATTGGCAGGTACGACCCAGCTTGCGTTAAGGCGCAATTCAATCGGATGTTTCAAGCAGCAAAGTACTGGTTAATGTTGACGCTCTGTCATAAAACCCCCGCCCACCAAAATGGGATGGTTTTAACTTATCAAATCCTTTGGGCTGCTCTGGGTAGTGAGTTGATTAAGGATCTGATTCCAGTAATGTAAACCAGCTTCAGGGATCGGGTTCATTACAGCTGTTCATTACAGATCAAGATCCCCTGATCTCTGCTCAGGGTTAAAGCTTTCCATCTAGTAATTCCACTTTGCTTCCCGTATCATGCCGACGCCAATTAAAGTGCTGGACTAAGCCCAGCGTCATTAAAAGCACAAGGTCCACTTATATGCAACTTAAAAAAGTTTTTCCATCTTACTTTCCAAGATGGAGCGTCTCACTTATTAACGGGAAAGAGGAAAGGAAAGCTAGATTTGGTTTTCATCCATTTTAGCAAACTGAGTACATACACTTCACTCTTTAACATAACCAGTTTGGGGACTGTGTCTAGAGTGAGAACACAATCTATGTTTCATAGAAAAATACCCAATTTTACACCTTCTTCCAAAGAAAAAGGGATCCCTGACCACTACCCTGCACCAGCCGTGTTCAGAGAGAACGTTGGATTCGCGCATGGACTCCTGCAGCACCGTGGCAACCTTCGGAAGTTGCCCAGTGACGCGGCTTGTCGCAGCATAACCGGGCTTTATCGTAACCTTGATCCTATTGGGAGTATAAAATGGGAAATCAGATTAAATGCTAAGTGTATGCTCCCGATGCTTTCTCCAGAAGTGATTGCTTATGAATGGTGCAAATGATTATCTTTCTAACATCGTTCACTTTCGGACTTTGGACATTAGCATGTTTCCATGTTGTTTAGTGCCGTAGTAAACCAACCTTCAGTGCTCTGAATAAACCTGCTCTGTTTTCCTGGAAAGCGCACTGCATTTTTTTAGGCCTGAACTACTCGCCTCAAAGCCAACACACCCACAGATCCCGAGGAGATGGTGCACAAAGATAACCATTTAGTATGCTCACACTGCAAGACCTCATTAGTTTCCAGACCAATTCAAGGGTTGGGCATGGAAATATCTGGACCACGGAGCTGTGTGGGGTAAGTCGTGTGAGAACAGGGACAAAAAACAACCACCAACCTCGCCACGCTACCGGTTGTGATGTGGCGTTGGTGATTTGTCAATACCAGCCCCTAAAGTTACTAATTTACAGAAGGATCTTCCCCAAATCAACATCAAACCCGTAACAGGGTGCCCTTGGGGACCGGGCTGTACCTGCACGTTAATTTCTGAAGTTGTAACACCACCTTTGGGCATACCCAGAGAGAGCTGGGTCTGTTGAGCTGGGAGAAGAGGAGGCTGAGGGGGGATCTTATCAATGCTTATCAATACCTAAAGGGTGGGTGTCAGGAAGGTGGGGCCAGGCTCTTCTCAGTGGTGTCCTGGGACAGGACTGGGGGCAACGGCCATAAACTGGAGCACAGAAGGTTCAGCCTGAACATGAGGAAACCCTTCTTCCCTGTGAGGTGACAGAGCCCTGGAACAGGCTGCCCAGAGAGGTGGTGGAGTCTCCTTCCCTGGAGACTTTCAAAAGCCGCCTGGACTTGTTCCTGTGTGATCTACTCTAGGTGATCCTGCTCTGGCAGGGGGGTTGGATGAGATGATCTCTAGAGGCCCCTTACAACCCCTTCCACTCTGTGAATCTGTGTAAATAACACTTGAAGTTCATCTGAAAAACAGAAGGAAATGGTATGCAAAAGTGGCACAGACGGATGATGTTGTTGACAGAGCACGCTCATACTGCATCGGACCGGTTCGCCTGTGAACGGAGAAAGGGGGTGTTGTCTGAAAGGAAAAAAATCGAGGAGTGCCTATTAAAACATCTCTGTATTGTTCTGCGAGCAAAGCACGCTAAAAATCCAGACCAGGGTCCTTTTCAAAGCCTCTTTTATAAAGGCTGGGCCAACAACGCAAGATTCACAGGCAAAACCTTCCACCCCAAACCGCGACGAACAGACCTCGCATCCTCTTTTCTAAGCCCGTGAAGAGGCCGTCGCAGAAGAATAGTGACAAACCCAAGGAAGAAACTGCAGAAAAATAAAGGCTGAAGTAAAAGGCAAAACCACTTCTCACACCCATTATTATTTTCAGACTGCTCTAGATTTGAAGGTCAGATATTCAAATAAACTAAATGACATGATTTTCCACGCTTACGGAAAGCACAACGGCCAGAGATAGTTCTGAGGCGATTCGTACGTAATAGATTCAATCACGTAATTTTGTTTTCCAAAGCTTAGGAAGGTTCGTTAACACCATTAAAAATAACTTCAAGGGAGTATTCTATAACTTCTTCCGAGCAATTCTTCTACGTATCCTTTAAGGATGACAACAGCAACTGCTCTTTCAGCACAGCATATGTTCCCTGGTCTCCCAGCTGTCGTCTTTTATGCCATCCCATAACTTCACACAGATATTTCAGGGAAATTCATTTGACTTTTACTCAGAACACCTAAAAAAAAATTTAAATAAACAGTACAGATATATTATTTACTTGTAACTGGTATTAAATTTTAATGTCTTTATTGCATAAAGAGATTTTTTTTTTAAGAACTTAAAATTTTACGTTATTTACAAGGAAATGTACAGTGCAAGGGGGAAAATATCACGCGTCCATTACAACAGCCGATGTTGCTGCTGGGCGTCCAGCAAGGTCCCTGCGTTCACATCCAAGAGGACACGCAGCTGGCTTCCTTTGGACCCTGTCAAACAGCAAAGGGGAGAAACATTCACTCAAGTGCAAAGAAAAATGTGTATTTACACAGAAATGATCGAGCTGAGCTGCAATGGTTAATGGTATTGGGAAACATCCACCTGAAACCAGAGTGAAGAGAAAGACAGGCTTTCAGGGTTTTAATGCTGTTTCTCAAAATAAGTGTTTTCTTCTTCCTCTGGAAGTTCTCACCTCCCCCATTCCTAACCACTAAGTACAATGCTCTTAACGCAGCAATTTTCTGCTCTGGAAATAGCGCTCTCACGGCAGTTTTTTCCACTGGGTTTCCTTCCTTCCACTGCTAGGAATACTTCTCCTATCTCAGCTGTCCCTTTTCCTCAGATTGTGGCTGACAGACTTCCAAGGGACTGGCCATACGCTGCGTCAAAGGCAAAACTCACGTCCTGGGCAGTTTCCAGCTCCTGTCCCTTACACACGCTGCCGTTAAACGTGGGGGTGCTCAAGTGATCCAGTATCCGCACTGGTACGTGTAGGGGGATACACCTTCAAGATACCAGATCTCCAGTGCGGGAAGCAGACTGACAGCCCCGCTAATGAATACTTTCCCATTTATCCCATCACTGTCTCCCCCGCCAAAGGAGCGGTGCTCAAAGCAAAGCTCCCAAGGATGCTCAGTTTTCCCTTTAAGTGCTGACCTGCCTGAAGTATCTGTGTGTTCTCTGCTGTACCGATGCACGTGTTTCGGTACCAAGCACCTGGAAAAGGACGAGTCTCTGTCGAACAGAACAGGCATCGCTGTGATTCCTCCCCTGCCCGCGCCCAGGAGGCCATTTGCGGCCCTTGCTGTGAGGGCGCACAGATGGCTCACGGTCAGCTTGGTGTCCATCGGGACCCCCAGGCCCTTTCCTGCCAGGCTGCTCTCCAAATGGGTGAGCCTGTCCTGGTACCTGGGGCTGTTTCTCCCCAGGGACAGAACTTTGGATTTCCCTTGACTGAAGCTCATGAGGTTCCCTGTTAGCCTGTGATGAAAGGCTGCGAGAGTTGGGCTTGTTCAGCCTGGAGAAGAGAAGGCTCCGGGGAGACCTTATAGCACCTTCCAGTACCTGAAGGGGCTACAAGGAAGCTGGGGGGGACTTTTTACAAGGGCCTGTAGTGACAGGACAAGGGGTAACGGGTTTAAATTGGAAGTGGGGAGGTTTAGATTGGATATCAGGAAGAAGTTCTTCCCGGAGAGGGTGGTGAGGCACTGGAACAGGTTGCCCAGGGAAGCTGTGGATGCCCCATCCCTGGAAGTGTTCAAGGCCCGGCTGGATGAGGCTTTGAGCAACCTGGTCTAGTGGAAGGTGTCCCTGCCCATGGCAGGGGGGGTGGAACTAGATGGTCTTTAAGCTCCCTTCCACCCCAAACCGTTCTATGATTCTATGATTTTTCCAGCCTGTCCAGGTACCTCTGGGATGGCAACACAGCCCTCTGATCTTCCAGCCATTCCTTCCAGTTTTGTGTCACCACCAGCCTTGCTCTGCCCCCTCACCCACATCAGTGAAGATGTTAAACAGGACTGGACCCACAACTGACCCATGGGATACCCCCCTAGTTACTTCATTCCACTGATCGCCAGCCCCCGGGCCTGACCGGTGCCTTAAACACTATTGAAATGCATAACACACGAAGTCTTTAGTTTTTTTCAGGAGGCTGGCCAGCATTCCTATATATATAATTACTAGCTGCTGAGATACAAAAACAGTTTAGTGGAGTAAAGCAGCGGGGCTAAATCAGGTCTTGTCTTACAGCACAGAAGTCACCAGGCTACGACTTTACCCCTCTGGTGGGTTGGGCCTTCTGTTTGCTTTTCGCTGTTTGAACTCCGACGCGAGGAGGCCAGCTACGGAGCCGATGCACCAAGTAGGCTAGGTTTGCTCAGCCGGCCTCCCCTCAGGATAACGACGGAAGGTGCCCATGCTTGTTCCGACACCTTCGTTTGTTCATCATGCCAAACAAGTCACGGCTGGCTCTCCACAGTTCTCGGACACAGGGCTCAGGCAACAAACAGCTGAGCTGCGAGGGCAGCGATTTGTTTGTTAACACCCCGTTAACTCTCCAACATCTCCTGCGTGCCACGAAGACCAAGCTGTAAACGACGTAAGACTTTGTGGGGGTTTGATACGCACAAGTACCCACACCACATGGATCAAACCCGTAATGATACCCGGTATTTTGTCTTGCGTGAACTCCTTCTCCTTCACCTGGAGAGCGGGAGTGAATGCTGCCGGGACCAAACCAGAGGTAAGAAACCCTCCGGCCAAACGCTCTCAAGAAAAACGCCGCCGAACCTCAACCTGAGCTCCGCACGCAGAATTCACTTCCTAAATGGGGAAAGCGGTGGTAATCAATCATTCTCAAAAAGGCACAGGGATCCTGACCACTGATTGCCCTGCCCAATTCTACTGAAGGGCAGCTCAGACTTGCTGTATGACAGACACCTGATTTGATTTGGAAAAAGCCAATTGACAAAAATCTAAATAATCCCAATTTCCATGCTTCCAACACATTAATATAACACAGGTTTTCCTCAAAATTAGTATTACGAGGGAACAGCAGCAAAAATGCACCCACGACCAGACTCACTCGCAGCTTGACGACGTTCCGCAGCTCTCAAACAGGGTTAGCACGTACCTTACTCAGCTCTGGAAAGAGTTCCTGAATCCCGATGTCCAGCAGAACGTAAGTTAACTAAAGGAAAACAAAGAAAATTGGAACCACTCCACGGCAACACTCCTGCTCTTTATTTTTAACTCCTCTGCTACAGCCATACCTTCACCTCAGGAAATTCTGTGCCAAAAGGCAAGTTTCTCTCCTGTTAGGAGTTACCTGTTTGTTGAGCACCGGTTGCTGCATCCCGTCAAACAGAAGCCTGATGCCTTCGTATTTCGCCTCTTCCCCAATGCACTTGCCTATTAAATCTAGATCAGACACCAACAACAAACACACAAGTCATTAGGAGGCACCGCAACACAGCTACACGAGGCAGTTATAGAACCTCTGTAATTAAAAAACCAGAAGTTTAATTTAGAGAAAGAGGTCAAATTTTATCTGTTTTTTTTATGTTTAAAGTGGTAAATGGAAAACACAAACCATCCTTTCTTCCTCCCTTTCCTTCAGGGCCACACAGCTAATTATTACACTTTGTAAAATATCTATATATTGCCCTAATACGCTGTTTAATAAACCACAAGCTGAAATGTTTTAACTCCTTTCTGAATAACCCGGCAAATGGGACCCTCCTTCCTTAGATTTCTCTTCTGGCTTCATGGTGTGCCTTTTTTAACCCAGATTTAATCTGGATAAATACAAAACATAGAAGCATTCTAAAGATGAATAATATGATATGAAGTACATTTGCAAGGGTCATTTCCATCATGTCCTTATTAATCACTGTGCTACAACCTTAGTCAGCAACATTAAGTGTGATGAAATCGAGTTCCTGGGTTTTTACACCTAGTAGCAACATACTAGTCAACTCACATCTCAGCAGCGTGAGTATTGCTTAATTTGGAAAGCTAATGTGACTGTATCTGGGTTACATATCTGCTGGAACGATGAACCATGCTCACTGGAGAGTCACGAAATACAGAACCTGGAATGTATCTCATCATTTCTTCAAAAGTCTGCTTTGCCCGCTTCTGTTTATCCTGGAGAGAACGAGGTTCGGTATTTTCACAGAACACAGCATCTGCAGCAGAGACACATTGAAGAACAGGTCTTTAGGAAGCTACCGCCATACGCAACGTTGTTCAGATTCCAAGATAAGCTTCTTTTCTTGACTGGAAGGGAATTCCAGTCTTGTCAGACAACAGCCTTTCTAGCAAAAGCCTGACCGAATCCAGAATACCCCACCTGTGTAGGGGACAACCGACTTTCGCCAATTTGCTTCCGTTCTTTTCAAATTTTTAAAGCATGATCTCCCAAGTTTGGCTCAATTCTACTTAAGTTATGATCTCCTTACTTACAATTTCCTTTATGTTTTCAAAACTGTGTGCAGTATTTACAACGCGTGCTAAAAACGCTGTCTGGATCTGTCAAAAACATCAGATTTCCCTAATCACAGAATCATAGAACGGTTGGGGTTGGAAGGGACCTTAAAGTCCATCTAGTTCCAACCCCCCTGCCATGGGCAGGGACACCTTCCACTAGACCAGGTTGCTCAAAGCCTCATCCAGCCTGGCCTTGAACACTTCCAGGGATGGGGCATCCACAGCTTCTCTGGGCAACCTGTTCCAGTGCCTCACCACCCTCTCCGGGAAGAACTTCTTCCTGATATCTAATCTAAACCTCCCCACTTCCAATTTAAACCCGTTCCCCCTTGTCCTGTCACTACAGGCCCTTGTAAAAAGGCCCCCCCAGCTTCCTTGTAGCCCCTTCAGGTACTGGAAGGTGCTATAAGGTCTCCCCGGAGCCTTCTCTTCTCCAGGCTGAACAAGCCCAACTCTCTCAGCCTGTCCCCATAGCAGAGGGGCTCCAGCCCTCTGAATGAGAAAGCAAGAACTGCTGTTCGTCAGAAATATTAGGCACTCTGTTTTGGTTTTAGGCTCTGAAAGACTTCACTTCTTTCCTTTTTTGTCTGCCACAAGCTTCCTTTTTGGCTCCGTAAGGACAGAGCTGTCTCGATTCCAGAGCTTTGGCCAGACGCGTTGTTTAGATCCGACTGTAGTCAGATAATGCTTCTCTACAGCTATGAGGATTTTTAAATGCCCTTTTTTTTTTTTAAACCCTCCTCCCTACCCTTATTTGAAGGTCAAGAACACCCAAGCCCCCTCAAAAGCTCACCAGCACCACAAAGGGAACAGAGATATTAACAATAAAGGACCATGACGCAGCGCACAAGTCATTTAAAAGATCGGATGAAATATTCGAGCTCTGACACACCAACCCACCTCCATTCTGCTTTCCTTGTTCCTCGCACAACTTAGCAAACAGCTGTTTGCAGTGCTTTTTGCTGTAATCACCACTGACAGACAACACGGCTGACTCAGCACCTTTCCACAACAAGCTTTTGGAATCTTTTTGTAGGCTCACTTGATTTTTAAAGCTCCATTAGCTTTAATCAAGCATCGCAAAGTTCAGGACTTGGAAACTTCAACAGAAGGGATTTCAAGTTAAAGCAGTATTTTCCACATCGAAGACGTAATTTTTACTGACCTCTCAGCAGCGTTATCAGAGAAACCAACCGGTGCTCCTGAAACAGCTGTTCTAACTTATAATCCAAGTAATAGTCCGTGTACAGCTCCAGTGTGTTTTTGAAGAGAATTCTTCCTCCCATCAAGAGGTGATGAAGCCAGTCAGGAATGCGGAAAACTACCCTACCTGGAAAGTTATAGTAACACACGATGACAAGGTTCTCCTAATACTGATGATAAAGGAATGGTTGGGGTTGGAAGGGACCTTAAAGATCATCTAGTTCCAACCTCCCTGCCATGGGCAGGGACACCTTCCACTAGACCAGGTTGCTCAAAGCCTCATCCAGCCTGGCCTTGAACACTTCCAGGGACGGGGCATCCACAGCTTCCCTGGGCAACCAATCACTTATTCAAAAGAAAAAAAAAAGAACAATGGAAAATAAAAATATTGCAAACGAGCAAATAATATCTTAGTTGTGTTAGTGCAACACTGGGAAAAAAAAAATTCTCCAGATTGCTTATCAAATACTTCTTTTAGCTACTTTTAATAATTAGTTCCCAGAGCGTACAAGCAGCCTAGGCACCTCTGAGAAAAAGGAAGGGACCTACTCCCATAAGCTCATACTCTGAGATGCAGGAAAGAGATAAAACAACTGAGCAGTAATAAACGATAAATGATGATGTTTTAGCACTTTGTTCTTAAGTTGTATATTGTTAAGCTTGCAAGTGCTGAATTATATACGAGTACTAGAACAGACTTATTTCTTACCAAAGAACATGAACTTCCCATTTGGCATAAAGTATAAGAATAATTAAGAGAAATCACTTCTTACCAACATACATCAAGTAGTCATAAACTCCTTCTACAGTCATCATTTCCATGAAGTAGTTCTGGTTTTGTCGTCTTTCTGTATTCTCAGAGCGGTTTGCATTATTCTTGAATAAATCATTGAAAAGCTAAAAACAGAAACGTAAGACTGAAAACATCGCATTCAAAGGCAAAAGGAATGCCATCGGCTCCTTGTGTGGAATTTTTTTTTTTTTAATTAGGAGTAGCTTTTTTCCAAGACTTTTCAAAGAACTAATTAGTTTTGTTTTTAAAAACACACACAAACCTACAACCTCTTCACTTTCCAAAGAGGGATTAAAAAAAAAAAAAATCCAGAGCATCTCACATGTTGCCAAGATACCTGATGACAACCAAAACACCTGGATTCAGAACAAATCAGCAGGGTTACTGAGACATTAATTCATGAGCCCTTTTGCTCCTGATAACTCCATGTATCCAGACTTTTATCACAGGCTTTGATTCCTTTGATGCATCCTGTTATGTCAATAAGGTGCATAAAGGATATAGAGTTTGTCAGCCTTAAATCACAGGGGAACCCTACGACATCAAGGTGTTCTTAAAATTTCCTGCTGGCTTCCATTCTGAAATAAATACAATGGTTTCTGGACAAAATATCCAACTTTTCACACAGGGAAATCCCTTTTTTCCTGCCAGCTTGATTATTTATAGCAAAAACCTCACAAATCTTTAAGTTACCAAAGTATGAGTTTCTTTCCACTTACCCCATTCTCCCTTTCCCCCCCACCCCCACCCCTTTTTCCCCTTTATCCTTTTGCTCTCCCAGATTCTGGCCCCATCACCAAGATCACTCCATTTCTTTGCCTTTGGTTCTTCTCCAAAAGATACCATTATACTACTCGTAAAATCCCCAAAACCTCTTTCCTGCATCCCATAAAGAGTCCCACACCACCTAGGCAGAACTGCCTTCCCCCTCTCCCCTGCCAAGTCTTTGGGCTCCAGCAGCTGGAAAGGAGGAGTTCTCTGAACCCTGAGGCTCTCCACATTTGACAATACCTTGCAGTCACCGTAAACAGTTTATTTTAAACTGGCTTATCCCCAAAATCGTTGATCTAAAGATTTAAAAAAAAAAAAAAAAACCAAAAAAACACCACAAAAAAAACCCCAACATTTTATACAAAATAATCTGTATTATGAAAAGAAAGTTCAAAAGTTTATGCCAAGCTTCTAAAAAAAACCATCCCAGAACTAGAAGCCAACGCAAGGTAATTACAGCGCTGCCTGGTTCGAGATGACTGCTACTGCCACCCCTTTTCTGTATCGCCCCCAGGTTATAAACAGTCCCGAGGAACGGGAAGCAATTTGCTTGTATGCGGTCCGCTTCCTGTAGCGCGGTTCTCCCCAGAATCAGCAAGGACCTAAAACATCCAAATCCCACCAGGCTCCGAACCACGCAAGTCTCTGAACAGAACGCGCTCTCGGGAGAATTTACATCAGGAAATCTGGCAAGACTCGGGTTGCGGCTCGTACTTCTTCAGGCCCCAGCGTTCGTTAAGCGCTGAAGCGCCGGCATTAGCCCCCCAAAGTTCCCCAGAACGAAACGCCACCACGTTATTATGTAAACGACACGGGAGAGCGAACGTGGTGGGTGCACTGGTGGGTGACCAGTGTCCAGGCAAGTAACAAACCTAAGCAGAACGCACGATCGCTCACTCCTACTGTTAGAAAGCGTCCCTGGCACATGGTTAAAAAAAACCCTGTATAAACTCAAGCCTGTATCCTCCTCAGTTGTGAGACTGGGACCCCGAGAAAAATCTTATTAATTATTGCAACTTAAACAACAGCCTCATTTATTTTTCAGACACACCCCGCGACGGGACAGAGGCGATACACGCCGAGCCAACTCAAAGCAGCCCATTGTGCAACGCAGATAAGGGTTCAGAGGAGCGCGTACAGGCCAAACTCAATCATTAACAGCAGCCTGGTAGGACACCTATAAAAACAAAAAATCAGGTGGCAGAGCCCACCTTCGGGCAAAGCTTTCTAACCGTTATTTCAACTTCCACCCCAAAGCAGTATCTTTTGAACGCTGCATGTCCCTCTGCACCTCACACATAACAGTTCCTTGCCCGCTGTGAAGCTCTGAGAGCCAAGTCCATGAGCGATGAGAGTCTGACGGACGCGGCAGCTTTAACACGAAGCGGCATCGCATCTCCGCTTGGATGTTTTGCACTTCCCACGATTTTGGCCCAGAGGAAAGCCAAGTGAAAGACACACAGCTGGATATTTAATACATAAGTCGGTTATAGTCACAATTCCAATAAGCACAGGATTTTGCTTTTACACTTTTCTGGGCATCTTAGTATCTGAGACATAATATGACGCTCACCGTTGTAATCAGACTAAAAAAAGATAAGCAAGACGAACTCTAATGCTATCATTCATTATTCAGATCTTTAAGATTAAACAGTAACTGCGATTATAACGATGAAATATTCTTAAAAGGCTTTCAATGAGGACATTCCATGGCTTGGTATTGGTTAATAATGGAAGCCAAGCTCCTGAAGCAAGAGAAAAGCAAAAGGCCTGTATTAAGACCAAAGTAATCCCTTGTACAACAGGCTATGTACTGTACCTTCACGGGAAAAGCTGGCAAAGTAAGCAAGTGCTTTGCCAGCATACTTACTTTGCGAGTAGGTAATGAGGCTTACATAAAACGCCCAACAGAAAAAAATAGTTACTCAACAGTTAAGCGAGTGCACATGCAAATACACACCCGAGCACTCCAGCATAGGTGTGAAGTTCATAGAAGCAATACCACGATTAGGAACAACATCCACAGCCAGAGGCATGGACCTCGCCACCGTTTTTCCTGCTCATTTGCCAAAACAGGTGACTACACCGAAGTGTGTATGTGGTGTCTGAACCACTGTTAGTGTACTGAAACACACCCGTGTCTTCCTCCAAGGAACTATGCATAAACACACAGCACCCTGCTGGTGTTCCAAAAGCAGTTTCTCTTGCTGTCAGCAGGTCATCGCAAGCCAGCAGAACAATGCCCTTGCAGGCACGCTTTGCAAAGCATCAGCTGAGAAATTCTGACCTATTCTAAAGAGTCTGACAAAATCGTAGAATCACAGAACAGTTTG